TTCCAAATCTCTCTCGAATGCCTTCAAATCCTTCCCGAATGCCTCTCAAGCGCCGATTGCCGGACTCAAACTTCTTCAAATCATCTCCAAATGCAATGAAACTCGATCCAACGCCTGTTAAACACAACTTGAGCCAAAATTGAGACTTGCAACGCCTTAAAGCCAGGAAAATCATCAAAATCCGACCCGAACACGCATCAAATGCGTGTCTAAATACGGACTTATCAGACTCCCCCACACTTAAGCTTTTGCTTGTCCTCAAGCAAATCGAACAACGGGACTTACGATAATCACCACACGGAATTTAAAATAGTTAGCATACACACGTAGTTAAAGGGATATTCACAGGACAGACAATTTAAACCAAGAAAATTCTTCCCTAAACTACACCTTTGTACTCAAGCTAAACTATTTGACACAATTATTCACAACATCCTCAAAGTAATGACAGCATACACAAATAAGCTAGCTACTGATCAGAAGGACTTGTGACTGTGATGGTGAATGGTTAATAATAATTGTCCCTTTATTTTGAGAGATAGGAATATTCTAACAAAGACTTAATGTATTTAGGAACTTCAGAGTTATTCTTAGGGACAGGGAACTCAGTAGGCCACAAATTAGGAACAATCATTTAAACCTATGTAAAGAGTAGACATGGTGTACAACTAAGCTAAACCGTCTCGGCACTTTTGTGCTTTAACGTATACTTGAAGTACGCGGAGGACTAAAGCTTAATTTTCAATAGCCTCCAAGTTCATTAATTTAGTTTAGTTTTCCTTGTCATGTTGGCACGAGAACGCCGTTTCTTTCGAAAGATACCCAAGTCTCATCTTACGCTTTTTGACCGGGGCTCCCATTCTCTTTTTCGTAAGATAAGAGGTCTAGCTATATTAATTTTTCACCTTTCGGATTCTCACTAGACATTACCCCATTCTAATCTCGGCCTCACCAAGGAAAAATAGCAATTAAAGTTCATTAATTTCAAAGTGAATCCATGCCTACAATGCAATCCTCGAAAGTATCATATTCCTAAAAAGTGACTGCTCTTACCCCATTTGGGGCATAGGAACAGTGCCAAAAATGGCTCCTACAAAAATTCCCTAAACTTAGCAAATTAATCCCTTAACTCCCTAAACATCAAGACTAAGTCAGAAATATTCACGGGTAAGGAAACAGGCCATTTGGCTATGGAGCTAAATTAATTAAGTAAACAAAGAACGGTCAGGCTCAAAATGGCTTCTCCTAAAGGACTTTTTCAGGTGGGGTGGATGATTAATGGAAAATTCATTGGGTGACTAATGCCTTCATCCTGTCAACAACTAGATTATAGTGCAAGCAATTTAAGCCTAAACACTTCAAAGATGTTCTAAAAGCATAGTCAAAACGCTAGCCAGCTCACAAAGACACAGTTTAAAAAAAAATTCAAAAATTTTGCATGAATTTACTATCAATATACAACTAACACCTGCGCATGCTAATTCTAATAAATCTCGTGCCTAGCTGCCAGGCACGATCGTGCCTGGCCTCCAGTAGCTCCCAGGATAATTCTTCTTCAGGCACGGCGTGCCTAACTCCAGGCACGACCGTGCCTGACCCTATTCTTCACTTTTTCCTTCGTTTCTCGTTCCAAATGCTCCCGAATGCCTACGAGGTCGATCCAAATGCTCTTTCTTCACCAGAATTTCGTCGTGAATCTCCCGGTGGCCTCCAAATCTTCCAAATCTCTCTCGAATGCCTTCAAATCCTTCCCGAATGCCTCTCAAGCGCCGATTGCCGGACTCAAACTTCTTCAAATCATCTCCAAATGCAATGAAACTCGATCCAACGCCTGTTAAACACAACTTGAGCCAAAATTGAGACTTGCAACGCCTTAAAGCCAGGAAAATCATCAAAATCCGACCCGAACACGCATCAAATGCGTGTCTAAATATGGACTTATCAAGTCACTAAAACAGATCACCTACCCTGCATGTTTTGTTAATGGACCATTCCAGTTCACTTTTATGTCATTATCATAGAAGCCTTGGCAATTAAAACCTATTCGTGTTGCTTCTAACATGAACTCTAAGGAACTCAGGGTATGTTTAACTAAGAGATAATCAACTTACTTAAATAAATGAATAAAAACAGCACTCCTATTGATGTTCTACCTTGACAACATAGTTAGTAACTATAATACATCATGAAGGAAAGTAAGCCAAGTACTATTCCTTTTTTTAAGTAATCCTTAAATCAATGTACTATTTGCAGTACTCTTTCAAATTCAGTTTCTAATTACTACATTTATTGCAGGGGAGATTGTGCTATCTTTATGCTAAAATTTGCGGAGCTTCTTCAAATGGGAATTGATATCAAGAAGCTTTGTCTATCCAAGATTCCAGAGTATCGAGCTAAGTGGGCTCACGACCTCTATCAATTTTGGGGGAAAATGAAAAAGAAGTGTAGCTCCTGAAGTTGCACATCAAAATAGTTACTTTAACTAATGGCCTACCTAGTATTAGTTTTTTTAAATGATCCCGATTGTTTCCTGTTAGTTTAGTTGCACTATTGTGCCCCTTCAACTTTGATATTTTGTTGGATGCTCTTTCATTTCATTGGAAATTACTACAACTTTTAATATCTTTTGCTAAGTCAATTGTTTTTTACGCTAATCATTGCAATTCAAGAGTACATCAGTCCTTCAATTCTTCAAACTCTTTATGTTTTGCACTCAACTCCAATTGCTACTACTTAATGTAACAAGTCAAACATACAAAAATGAATATGTGAATGACTATTTCCTTGTTGTTCATGAGACAAGATCTCTTAAATATAGCACTGACTTGATATCAGAATGCTCACTATGTATATTTCTTACTGTTCTAAGTCTTGTACTATAAAACACATATCAGTACTCATTAAAACCTCATTGAGATTTTTATTTTTTCATCTCTCTGGAAAAGATGCACCAATATATAGAAATTAACATCCCACTCCAGTGATTCTAACAAGACAATGGTAAAACGACAAATAACACAATTAACGGATAATGAGTAACAACCATATTTGAGCATTAGTAAAATGTCATCGCAACCATACAAAATATTACAATCTAAGTTTTCAAGGTCAAATAGTGATGCATCGTCAAAATCTAATCTAAGGGGACCTAACGATGCCCCTTTTATTGAAGGGTGAATTTTAGTAGAGTACACTTCTTCGAGACTATTTCACATGATTTAATACTATTTTCACTACACTATCATTATTAATTGCTATCGTATTTTTTAAGAGTAATAGAGTAAATTGGTATAAACTTGTTTAACAAATCAGTGAATTACCTAAATAGGACGAAAAATGGCCAAAGAGCACAAATAGGACTGCACTTTTTAAATCCCCCAATAAGACTATTTATGTGTGTTTGGACAAATATACCCTTGTAACTTTTGAAATATTTTATTTAATAAAAAAATCATAAAAAAATAATACACATAGTAAAAAAATCATTAAAATCATTAAAAAGTAATATAAAATTAAAAAAAATTATAAAATAAAAAATTAATTTAAAAAATAATTATAAAATAATAAAAAGTAAAAAAAACACCGCCGCCTATGCCACCCCCAGCTCCGTTCACTAGCGGAAATCAGCCAACATTTGTAGTAATACCATGACATGGCATATTCAATTAAAATTTTGGCATTTTCAATGGTAATAATGCCATTTTGTTGCTATTTTCAGGAAAAAAATATTATATTTTTCTTTTACAAAATGGCATATTTTTCACCGATCGGAGGTGATGATGTTAGGAGGCGGTGGGAAAGGTATCCATATTTTTTTATGAGTTTTGAATATTTTTTTTTATTTTTTGAAAAAAAGTATTTTAAAAAAAATATTTTTCAAATTTTTTATTTTCTAAATTTTTTAATTTTTTTTTACAATTTTTTTGTTACGATTTTTTATTATTTATTTATTATTTTATTATGAATTAAAATTTTTCATTAGGAATTAATACCCTTAGGGGTATTTAGGGTAGAAAATCAATGTTTACTCCTATTGGTGGATTTAAAAAATAGTAATCCTATTTGTGCTTTTTAGACAAACTTTGGTATTATTGAGGGCAATTTCTATTAACAAATGAAAAATTACTTTTGTACACGTTCTTATACACATCAGTACACCTCCTTGTCTGTGAGAGTTATTTTGTCTGTGAATCTCAATCAACAGACAAAAACTGGCTTGTTTTGTCTGTAGAATTTGTCACAGACAGAAACTGGATTGTTTTGTCTATGAATAGGCATTTACAGACAATAAAAAATTCTCAGACACGGAAGTGTACTGGTGTGTATAAGAATGCTTACACCAAGAATTTCTCATTAACAAATAGGGAAAGAGGCTTTATTTTGGGACATCATCTGGAAGTGAGAAGTTTATATAAGAACAAAGAAAGTATGACTTTTACATGGATAAAGAGTAAGTATTAATTTTACAATCCATAAAATCTATATTGAGAAGGTGTTCTGGTCTTCAATAAGTTTTGCCAAAGATTCCTCTAAACTATATTGTTAATAATCCCATAGGACTCGATCAGTACCAAGGCTTTTGGGTTCTTGGTTAATCTATTCTATGATCAAATTAAATAAGGCAATAAGCCAGGGAGATTCTCAGCTGCTAGCTGAGAAGTAATCAAACTGGGGAAGTATTAGTGTATTACGAATCACACAAGTAAACAGCTACTCCATATTTATTTGAATATTTCCTTTGCTGAAATACTTTTTGTCAGCTAACCGGCCAGACCATCTAGTGAAATGATCTGAAGGTGCTGGCGCACCCACAATTTCTTTGTCATGCGCAACAGAACCTGTCAAAATAAAATCTATACATGCACAACCCAATGAAGAAGAGCAACAAAAAATTATACGGAGTAAGAAAAGAGCCCCAGAAAATGACACGGAGTAAAATCAAACAGAAGCCAGATCCACCATGGGAAATTGGCAAAGAAGAGGAAGGAAATGCAGACCAACAGTGGGAAAAACACACTGGACAAGCACATTATTGCACATAGAAAAAGGCTAAAACTTAGAGGCATAAGCAGGATTCACAGCTCACTCATTGAAAGATGTTCCTGGAATGCAGAAAACCGTCAATTCCTACGAAATACATCAGAGCAAACATGGAAGAAAACCAAAACGTAGACTGAGTTTGAGATTTGTCTACCAAAGCATTGGCATAGTGCCACATCAAAAAAAGTTGTTAAATCTGACTACTAAAGCCCAGCTTGAAGGTTATTAAACCTTTGCCATTCCATTATTTCAATGATCTAAAGGCTTTAGACTTGCATCTTTCATCTTTGTGATGATGGGCACACATAAACTCTCAAGCTCTTTTCTCTTTTCTTCAAATTTGCAAGCATTACCCAGTAGGTTGTTCCAGTCTAACCATTTTTCAGTCGTCTCAACCGCGTCCATCAAAGTTATTCTGTCCGTCACATCAACCATCTTCCCGCAGATACTTAAAATGCCCCACATGTAGTGAATGTAATTCTCCAAAGCATTTTTAGCATTGGATGCCTTCTTGCGCTCTTCATCTCGAGCCTTGTAAACCTCTGCTTCTTTAACCATTCGCTCAATCTCCTGTTTTGACAACCTCCCACTGTGATTGGTTATGGTGATTTGGTTCCTGTTGTTACTGCCCTCCAGTTCAGCAGACACAGTCAAGATACCATTGGCATCAACATCAAAAACAACATCAATTTTAGCTTCACCTTCTGGTAAAGGAGGAACGTTATTGAGATAAAATATGCCAAGAAAGTTATTGTCTTTTGCAATGGGCATCTCTCCTTCATATACTGGGAATGAAATACTGGTTTGGTTGTCATATGCATTGAAGTTTTTACTTGACATCTTTGTAGGGATGGTAGTGTTCCTTGGAATCACAACACCCAATTTACCACTGTACAACTCAACCCCAAGAGATAGAGGAGCAACATCCACAAGTACAACATCCTTATTCACACCCAGACAAGCACCGGTCAGAGATGCAGCGTGAAAAGCAGCTCCATGGGCAACAGCCTCATCCGGGTTTATGCTTTTGCAGGGCTTCTTTCCATGAAAAAGGTCTTTTAACAATTCCTCGACCTTCGGAATTCGGGTAGACCCACCCACAAGAACAATATCATCAATGCCATTCTTCTCCATTTTTGCATCTTTTAAACACTTTTCAACTGGCGCAATACAACTATTGAACAGATCTAAATTCAATTTATCAAATCGTGCACGGGTGATGCTTGAAGAGAAATCAATGCCCTCAAAGAGACACTCAATGGAGATGGACGTTTCAGTGACAGAAGAGAGGTTTCTCTTGGCCCTTTCACAAGCTGCTCTCAACCGTGCAAGAGCCTTAGGATTTCCACTTATATTTTTTTTGTGTTTCCTCTCAAACTCGGCAACAAAGTGGCTCACCAATCTGTTAGTGAAATCTCCTCCGCCAAGGTGAGTGTCCCCATTAACTGCTTTGACTTCAAACACATCCTTCTCCATCGTTACAATAGAGACATCAAAAGTGCCACCTCCAAGATCAAAAACCAATATGTTCTTTAAAGATGAATCACCATTTCCAGTTCCTTTCTTGTTAAGACCATAAGCAATTGCAGCAGCTGTGGGCTCATTGATGATGCGCAAGACATTAAGCCCAGCAATGAGACCAGCATCTTTTGTTGCTTGGCGCTGGGCATCACTGAAGTATGCAGGGACAGTGATAACAGCATTCTTTACTGATGTGCCTAGGTATTCCTCTGCAATATTTTTCATCTTTTGAAGGATCATTGAGGATATCTCCTCGGCAGCAAAGTGTTTCTCCTCTCCATTGTAAGTTACTGATATGATAGGTTTATCTTCATTCTCACCGTTAGCCTCAGGACCAGCTATAACTTTAAAGGGCCAGAGCTTCATATCATTTTGCACCGTTGCATCAGAAAACTTTCTACCTATCAGCCTCTTTACATCTGTAATTCAAGTAGATAAGCCATTAGGCCCATTAAGATATTATGTTCCATCCCAAACTGTCTCATTCCCAAACAGGAGCGGACCGTAGTAGAGACCGAGGGGTCACGGCCCCTGCAAATCATTTTTTTAGTGTATATATGTGTGTGAAAAATTATTTTGGTCAGGTCCTAGAATTTCTTTGTTTAAATTACGGCCCTTGCAACAAGATGAATTTCCTGGGTCCGCCCCATTCTCAAACTTGATGGCTTGCTTCGTACATTGAGATAAATTTATAGGGAAAGTAATAATGAGGAACTTAAGGGCTTAAGGCAATGTGTATTACTATCCGAATAAAGGTGGCATTGGTATAAAGTTGAAGTATCCCTTTGCGACACCATAGTACCATACTTGCCAATTAAGGGTGATGTACTGATGTTAGTGTGTAAACAACCCATTTGTATTTGGGTATATGAGCCAAGGAAACAAGCTGAATTTAAAATTATTTAAGATTTAAAGTGTTATAAATCCTTGTAACATATATCAGTAATTACTACTCATTCAGTCTCATAAAATTCTTGCCGGTTTGACTCGGATCATAATCTTTATATGATATAAAGTAACAGTCTTGGCACTACAATTGGAGGGAAAAATCCCACCCAAAATGAAGACATAATGGTGAATTAATGACAAAAACAAATTTGGTAATGTAGTAACTAAGCATTAGACCATTTGTAGTGGTTGAAGATTAGGAGTCAAAAGATTAAAAATGGAACTTTTAGACTCTTAATTGGATGTAGTGGTGGATTAAAAGTGGGAGTAAAAGTGGGAAAGAGAGTGGAGGAGTCTAAAAGTAGAAGGTTGGATTGACAGGGAAAAAGGAAGAAGAAGAAGAAGTGGCTGCTTGGGTTGTTCATGTATTCTGCTGATGTCACGATGATGTCATTAAATCCCCAATTAATTTTAAACTCTTATAACTTTTTTATTTGTTCTCCAAATTTTTCACAAAATATATCAAAATTCATGAATTTTTATGATCTTTCATATGACACCAATATGTAATAATATAAAATGAATTTTGTTTTTGAAGTATTAACTGTTCAAGTTTTCTTGAACCCAAACAAATACGAAATACAATTTTTTAATTCATTGAGCTTTCACAAATACTAACTGAATATTCCATAATCAAATTTTATTTGAACTAAGTTCATTTTTTGTTAACCAAAAGCCGTTTAAAAAAATAGTGATTTTTCTTTTTTTTACTTTGAAATGTGTATTTTTTATTTCATTAGTATCCAGGGAAAAATTCAAAACGAAAATATTAATCATAATAATTTAATTAATATTTTACTAAATTGATATGTAAAAAATAAGCAGAGTGTACTTTATTGACGGTGCACGGATGCGGGGAAAACCGGTATTGACGGAGTCTAAACACTGTTTTTATATGGACGGAGTCCAAATTAAACAATTTGGACTCTTGACCACTACAAATGGTCTTAACAAATAAAAAATGACAACCATAGATTTCTAAAAAAGTACTCCCTACTAGGTAACAAAGAAGAGAATATTTTACAAAAAAAGAAGAGCAATACAATCCCATTTTTGTTTAAAGTGTTGTAACTTTTTTATTTGTACTCCGATTGTTACATAAAACATACCAAAATTCATAACTTTTTATTATCTTTCATATGACACCAATATTGAATATAAAAAATAAAAATAAAACAACACTTTAAAAACATCAATGAATCAAGTGCTATAATTTTTTTATTTGTACTCCGATTGTTACAAAATATATATCAAAATTCATAAGTTTTTTATTATCTTTCATATGACACCAATATTGAATGTCTTTATATAATATGAAATAGCAAAATTGCTACAATTACTTGATGGAAAATTCTCGCTCAAAAATAATAAATCTTTATACAATATGAAATAGCAAAATTGCTACAATTACTGGAGGGAAAATTCTCGCCCAAAAATAATAAATATGTAAATAGTCAAGTTGTGATTTATTAAATATAAAATAAGGAATAAGGAGTATGTTACTACCATATAAAATTATCATGAACCGCCAGTTGAGCATAAAATGTTTGTCAAATTTGTTTGTCATAATTCTGTAAGTATTACTCTGCTCACTTCGTTAAGAGTGCCGCTCAAATAAAGTTGATTGCATAATGGAAAGGTAATTTATGAAAATTGGAAGTACGTACTTACCATACTGCTACAGTAATACAAATGCATATAATAATAGTAGTAGTAATAGTATTAATAATTAATAATAATACTAATAATAACAACAACAATAAAAACAACAACAACAACAATAAAAATAATTATAATTATAACTATAATTCTAATTATAATGACATTGAAGGTTATAAGTTTATCCTTATCCTTATATTATACTACCTCCGTCCCTTAAAACTTTGCCAAAGTTGACCAGCACGCAGAATAATAAAGTAAAAACTATGTGGTTGAGGTTTGTGCAGAGGAAAGAGAAATAATAGATACCACAAAATAATTGATTAAAAGGGAAAGTGACAAAGATTTTTGGGACGTAGAGAGTATAAAGTAACAAAATTCCTACATATTTTGGACAAAAATTGGGACTCTAATGCATAGAATAGTTAAAATAGTTACAAAAAATAAGCATTCTGCCGAATCACCGATGACTATAAATAATCAAAATTTTGGGATAAAATTTTATTTTATTAGCACTTCAGGTGGTTCTGTGTTTCAATTATTATTGCTACTAGCACTTATCCGTCATTTTTTAAGAATACGGCTAGTTTGTCATATGTTTAACAAAAAAGCTATTTTGACACCTGTAAATGATGTTGTTGAGATTATCAATAATTATATGATTTCGCTCAAGCCTAAACAAATGAATACATGTTTGATTTTGACATCTCATGTTCACTTGAAGGTAACATTGTCACTGAATCTGTTGAAGTGCACATGCAAGAGTCTTTGAACATCATCAATGCATCAAAGTTATCGAACCATAAATTGTGACTAAAAATTCGTGTTCCTATTATGCTAATGAGGAACATTGGCCAGTCATGTGACTTATGTAATGAGTCTCGCCAGCTTATTACTTGGTTGTATGATTGTATTTTGGAGGTGAAGGTTATATTTTAAAAAGTATTGGTCAAAAGGTTTTGAATCCATGATTATCATTGGTGGTCCCGTCAGATAACATATTTTTCTTTCAAACTTTAACTCAATCAATTCTCATTCATTGTTTCATTTATCATGATGATAAGCAAAGCAGAGGCTCCAGATCCATCATTTTTTTGCTTTACTCTACTTACTTGACAATTTTTCATTGGATCCAAGTTTTCCTTTTCTTACAAACTACTATTGCATAATCAAATTTACAACATATAAACTCTACTATCTCTTTTTATTTGGAAAAATTAAACAACATATACAATTACAATAAAATGTAATTTTAAACAAGTTGTTACTTACTCTAGATATACCCCGTGCATCGCACGGGTATTTAGTCTAGTTTAAGAAAATGAGATTACAGTGAAAATGCATGGTCGTGATTGAGTAAGAAAAAAACAAATGAATGTGAAGAATTTTCTTAGTTGGTATCTTCTTTACACAAAACTCTCCAAAAAGGAAAATGAGAAGAATTTTTTGAGACATCCCAAAAAAGTAATTAAGTGTGAAGAATTTAATGAGATGAGATAAGACTTATTCAAGTGTGTAAAGGTAATAACTAGCAACATAGTCCAAAAATGTACTGACTATGATCTTTATAACTCTGTCACTTTCTTTTGTGTATTGTTTTTGTATCAAATACTTTGTAACTTTCAAAGTGGTCAATTACTCCCTCCATCCAATTAGACTTTGTCAAATTTATTTTTTTGTTTGCCTAAAAAATACTCCATGTTTAGCACTTTTCGTAATTATGTTAGTCTTATCTTCTTTACACAAACTTTTACCACACAACTTTTACTTTTTGTATTTCAAACCCAACTCAAAATTGTCGATGTCCAATACGTTTTGGTTCCGATCATTTTAGGCCTAAACTTACCCGTTTCAGTTTAACGAGTCAGGTTGTTTTGTATGAAGTGGCTGACTCTAATTCTACAATTTGATCTGTAAATTCTGCCCGAAAATTGTCAAGTATGTGTTCTTGATTTTAATATAAAAAGGCGGAAAGAGAATGGAAAAGGAAAAAACAAACCAAAGATGGTATTGGAAGGATTCATGGCTGCCTGATTCTGAGCAGATTCACCTATATGGCGTTCAACGTCGGTGAAGGCAACCCATGACGGCGTCGTACGGTTGCCCAAATCATTGGTGATGATCTCAACACGGTCATGCTGTGGCTGCCAAACTCCGACACAAGAGTATGTTGTTCCCAGATCGATCCCTATGGCCGGACCTTCTCCTTCTTCTTCTGGACTTTCTCTTCTTCCGTTCTGTTCCATCTTCTCTGGGTTACCTTGTATGTTGTAATATTAAACCCAGAGCGGATAGCTTTCCTTTAAGTGAAGCAGAGAAGATACGTACCAACTAAGTATCTGCAAAAGCAGAGAGGATACGGGATACCTTGTGATTTGTGAGCAATAGCTCTTTTGAATTTTGATGTAGGGACTGAGGATTGTGCGCGCCTACATGGCGATTAAGTACAGGTACGCAGGTGTGGGACAATTTAGGCTCCACCCAAATATTTACCGATAGTAAATGTTTTTACTTTTAAGTACATAAAATTTATCATAATTTTTTGTGCACATATTTTTGTTATTGACTCAGTTTGGCTCAGTGCTCTGACGGCACCTCTACCTATATAGCTATATGGTTTCGACTCATTTGAGATGTGTTTACTTGAACTGTAATTTGCTGGTCTGGTCTGGAACAAATTATAGTCTAAGTAAAAGCATTCTTAATAATGACGTACATGTACATTAGTGTGGTCTGACCATTTAAATCAAGAATAAATTACACAAATATTACTCATTTTAACCTTACTAACAAAAATATGACTACCGTATAAAATGAGTTAAAGAGTTTTTTTGACTATTCTGGAATTGACCTTGCGAGAACCTTGCGAGTAACGGTCTTGAAGTCTCCTTCTCCGAACGAAAGTCTCTCATGCTTATTAATACGAAAATCTCGCCCGCCCTGTACTCCTATCATATTCTACATCACTCTTCATCACTCTGTAATTCCAAGATTTTTATCTATAAACCCTAACTAACCTGCTTGCATGTTGGCGACACAGGCCTAATTCTTCGATCTTTCTCTGCACCCAGTGGCGGAGCCAGAAGTCCATAGTTATAGGGGCCGGTTTTTAAAAATATTACATTACAGGGGCCAACATTTAAAATATCAATATATTTTCTATAGATTAAACGTATTTATACATAATACTACCTCCGTTCTTAAATAAGTGCAACAGTCAACATTTCACATTTGCCGAGACACAACTTTGACTATTAATATATAAACCTCTCTATTAGTAAAAAAATTAAAAAAATCAGATTTTGAAAATTTACAATGAGACAAATTTAGTAATATTTTTTTCAAAAATATATACTAAGAGCCCGTTTGGTAGCACCAAAATTGGCTGTTTTGGCTGATTCTGCTGAAATTTATGATATTTTGGCTGAAGTGGCTGTTTTGGCTGATTCTGCTGATTTAAGAAAAAAAAATTTTAAAAATATATTTTATTAATAAAATAAAGAAAAAATTATATGTAAAAATAGCTAAAATGGTCATCTACAGTAACTTCAGCCAATACAGCCAGAAAAGTAACTCCAACCTTACTTTTTCGGCTTATTACACAATTCAGCGCGCGAAAGTAAAAGTTACGTGTTTGGTGAAAAAGCTGGCTGATAAGCCTGATAAGCCGAAAACAGAGGTCTCCAAACGGGCTCTAATACATCAATAAATAAAATGTAATCAAAGTAGAATATGTGAATAGTGTAAAATTTGCAATGTTGCACTTGTTTAAGAACGGATGTAGTATATGCTTAAGAATTTTTTCTCTTGCAGGGGCCGAGTCCCCCTCCAACCCCTCTCTGTCTCTACCTTGTGACTGCACCTAAAGTCTTTCTGCGCATGCAAGGCGAGGCGGCTACAATCAGTGTAAGAATCTTTTACTAAGAACGACTAGGTTCCAATTTTATAACCAATTTTTACTGTAATCTTCCATTCTTTTGCTCATTGTATAATCTCGTAATTGTATGACAATTGAAACCTTTGAAAGGCCGTGGTTTCGGAACTAAACAATATAATGTTCTGTATGATTGTCTTAATTTAGTCCGAGTGTGACTTGTTTTTGGGTATAACGATATGTGTTTTGTGTTATAGTAGATTCCCTGATTGAATTCCTCAAGTCAATTTTTTTTGGGATCCAACGGTAATCCTTGTATGGTACCTTTTACACATTTCTACCTATTAATCTATTATATGATATTTTTGTTAATCTATTTTGGGTTTGAGAAGTAACATTGTGAAATTTACTCACATACATATGCACCAGTTGGTCTAACTGGTCAAGGACATCTAACATTTTAGCTGCCACTATGGATGTTCTTACTTATTCTTCAGAAATTCAAAACGTAAGGATCATTTTGAAGTCACTAAAACAGATCACCTACCCAGCATGTTTTGTTAATGGACCATTCCAGTTCACTTTTATGTCATTATCATAGAAGCCTTGGCAATTAAAACCTATTCGTCTTGCTTCTAGCATAAACTCTAAGGAACTCAGGGTAAGTTTAACTAAGAGATAATCAACTAACTTAAATAAATGAATAAAAACAGCACTCCTATTGATGTTCTACCTTGACAACATAGTTAGTAACTATAATACACCATGAAGGAAAGTAAGCCTAGTAACCCACAGAATAAGTGAGACCAATGTCATGACATATACCCACACAAAACAGTAGGAGTATGGAGGTAACATTCAGCCTCCAAATCAGGAATTGCAGTACTATTCCTTTTTTTAAGTAATCCTTAAATCAATGTACTATTTGCAGTACTCTTTCAAATTCAGTTTCTAATTACTACATTTATTTATTGCAGGGGAGATTGTGCTATCTTTATGCTAAAATTTGCGGAGCTTCCTCAAATGGGAATTGATATCAAGAAGCTTTGTCCATCCAAGATTCCAGAGTATCGGGCTAAGTGGTCTCACGACCTCTATCAATTTTGGGGGAAAATGAACAAGAAGTGTAGCTTCTGAAGATGCACATCAAAATAGTTACTTTAACTAATGTCCTACCTAGTATTAGTTTTTTTAAATGATCCCGGTTGTTTCCTGTTAGTTTAGTTGCACTATTGTACGTGCCCCTTCAACTTTGATATTTTGTTTGATGCTCTTTCATTTCGTTGGAAATTACTACAACTTTTAATATCTTTTGCTAAGTCAATTGTTTTTTACGCTAATCATTGCAATTCAAGAGTACATCAGTCCTTCAATTCTTCAAACTCTATGTTATGCACTCAACTCCAATTGTTACTACTTAATGTAACAAGTCAAACATACAAAAATGAATATGTGAATGACTATTTCCTTGTTGTTCATGGTACAAGATCTCTTAAATATAGAACTAACTTGATATCAGAATGCTCACTATGTATATTGCTTACTGTTGTTCTAAGTCTTGTACTATAAAACAAATATCAGTACTCATTAAAACCTCATTGAGATTTTTATTTTTTCATCTCTCTAGAAAAGATGCACCAATATATAGAAATAAACATCCCACCCCAGTGATTCTTGAGCATAAGTAAAATGTCATCGCACTATATTAATTAAACAACTTGTATGACGTGAAACAGTAACTTTCAGCGTAAAACAAGTCTGAAATCACAATTCAAGTGTACGGTGTATCACAAAATGATATCACAGTTCAAGTTTATAAATAAAATCTGAAATCCTCAGCCCCGTGACAGCATGTTTGCTTGAATAAAAACAAATAAAATAATCAAACATGTGGCATCACAATCTCACATCATTGATAGCGATATCGGATTATTACAAGTCTTTTGGTTATGCTCTTGTTGCTTGCATCTTGTGCATTTTTGTCTTGAATCAAATTCACCAATAGACCGAATTCTCTTTGACTTCGGCCTCCCGGCAGTTCTTGTTTTGCATAGAGGAGATTTAACCTCCCACCTCCTATGCTCATCGGGCAGTTCATCGTTTGTATATGACCCAATAGGATGAATAATTCCGGAATATGCCCCACGCCATGCGCTTGTCTTGTAATAAGCTGACACATAGTCATAACATGATAGCCCAATCACTTCTGCGCTGAAACTTGTACTTGGTTTCACCTGCATAGAAATTTACCCACATTTTAATGTATTACACATCATAATAAAACAACTTTAATAACATTTGACTTACAATCACTCCACGACTACTAAAGAGACGTTCTACTAGCATTGCTTCAGCAGCCGATGTTAATGGTGTGGTTGTTTCATTGGCCAAAGTCCTCCTTTTAAAGAACCAGACTTGCATTTTATCTCTCAGGTACTCTACAAGAGTAGCGATGGGATACTCTCGTGCTAATCGATCTATAGCATTCATGGATCAGCGTTATTTGAGGTCAAGATTGAATACTTTCGCACATTAGCCACAAGTTCTTCATACGTTGTCGCAGAATTAAGGACCATACCATGTGTGGATTATGTTAGGAATACCATTTTTTCATCCCAACCTTCTCCTACCAACACTGTCACTAACAATGGTTCCATGTTGCAGCAAAAATCAAAAAACACATTTGTCAACTGATAATAACTAGGAAAATCTTTGGTTAGTTACCTTTTTTTAATGACTGTTGCTCATAGTATCTAAGGTTTTAAAAAAATGTATTGGATGTCAAGATGCACCGAACAGTTACTTGCACATTGAATACATTACTACTATCACATTATAGTATCTCTTACAAATCAATTACTTACAAGTCACAAATGGTACGCCGAACACACATTCTGTATTCATTAGTCAACCTCAATTACTTGATCCTCCATTCATCACTTTACTAAACCAGTGTCACAATGTGATCTGTTCGCCTCCGTTATATACACTACAACAAAAGAGACCTTTTGTAACACCTTGAAAGTGTTACATTTCATAGATAAATTGTTACATAATAGCTTACGCAACACTTTCTCATGCGTTACTTCAGGTCTCGTTGCATAAAGTAATAAGCAACACTTTTTGACATATTATGCAACACTTAACAAAATTGTTGCATAAATTATGAAAATGCAACACTTTCTTTGCAACACTTTAACCAACACCTTTAGTAACACTTTTTAGAATAAAATGCAACACTTTAGAGATCACCTTATGTAACACTTTTGTTCAACTTATGCAACATAATTACTATATTCTTTGGCAACATTAGTTTTAGATAATGCAACACTTGTAACAGCAT